AAAAATTTTTTGCGTTTGGTCGCAAAACTGAAAATCGCCACGGAAATCGGAGCATTATAGGTTTTATAGCCTGCTCTTTCTGAGTGTGCCAAGTTTGCGCTAATTGAATCTCTTTATGAAAGGTTATGATTTTGGAAGCAAATGCCAAAAAATCATATTTACCCTTTTTTACGGCTTCGAAAATCATAACTTTTTAAGAGACGTTCAATCAGCGCAATCTTTGTACAGTCAAGAAGAGTAGGTAATAATAGCTATGATACCGATTGCTTTGATTCTCTGCAGGCAGATTTTTGCGACCAAACATGGGGAACATTAAAATGGAGTAATTTTCTTCACCGACTTCCATCTCTGGAGCTATCAAAAAGTGCCTCAGGTACCATAAGAAAGAGCATGTCTTCTTTCAAAATAAATATGTGCAGATCGGATGTGAAGGAAGAAAGTTTCGAATTTTTGAAAAGGATGGGGACGAGCTTTTGGTTCATTAGTATTATTTTCTAAGTATTAATTCATGAAAATTAAGCAATAATTTATGATAACTTTCACTTACACATACCTGCCTTAGAGTCTGACACATACCTGTTTTGTGTGGAAAATGCTGGAATATTGGATTAAAACAAAAGTTCTGCTCCAAATTTGAAAATTTCAAAATAATTCAAGTCGAAGCAAAGCCGCAAAGCCTTGATTTTTGCAGAGAACTCTTGTAATTTTCAAATCTGTTTCAGAGCTTCTCTTGTTGAGATTTCGAAATTTCCGAAAATTTTGAATGAATCGTCCACATTTGCTCCGAATTTCTTGGCGAAGAAGTTGCAAAGTGGATCACTTGCGGCACGGCACGATTTACATCAAGAAATTTCAATTAATTCTCATTGGAGAAAGGAAGGGAGACTAAAGCCGGCTTCAGTCGCGCGAACAAGGTCAAAATGACACCCGGTAAGTGGAAACGGTTTATTTCTCCACAGGACCATCTTCGTTTTGAAGCGCATATTATCCTTTGTGAATGAGATTGTTATTCTTGTTTTAACTTATTCTTCCATTATTCTTTACTCTTCCATCAGTATGACATTGCTTTTTAATTCTTAATATCTGCCGATTTTTTCCAACCTTATTCGGTTATGCATATATACTCGAATGCTTCTGTGATTTTATGTATTAGGTGGGTCCGAAAGTTTTGTCGGTTTTTTTCAATCCATCCGCAAACACGTTAGAATGAAGATAAACAAACGCTTCGAAATGTATCCAATGCAGAATTTCTTCTTCTTTCCAGCTGCTAAACTCACATTGTGTTTCGTTGCGAGAGTGACAAGATATTTGCTGGAAATTACAACCACTCGTTTTTATCATCTCCAACTTTCGCTAATTTTCAGAATTTTTGTATGAGACTTTCGGAGGAGCCCTAATAACCAGCAGATAGGGCAAACCTTTTGCCAATAGAAGCAATTTTTTTCGTTTTTTCAGCTGCTTTTTCAGATTTTCGCTAAGTAATTTTCTAAAAGTCTTGTGTTTTGGCAAAATAGCATGACCTGTTATTGCAACAAACACTGCAAACCTATAGAAAACTGAGGTTCCAACACATGATTATTTCTACCGCTACCATTACAAAGTAAATGAGCGATTTTCGCTTTAATTTATGAAGATTTTGAAACATAGGTTACGTCAGTGCGCACTCCTAAAATTGAGAAATACTGCGATTTTTCTCATAGATTTTGCCTGTCTCGGCAAAAAAAGACAAGTGTTAGAAAGAGGAGAAAATTCTGCATCGAATGGTGACTGAAATGTTCAACATTTTATGTTCTACGAGGTTAAAATAAGCTGATTGTAAAATTTGGTCACTTCAAAAAATAAATCGTAGAAATTCTGAAAGACAAGCCGTAGGGCTATAAAAATTGCTTCTGTTGGCAAAAGGTTTGCCATATTCGCTGGTTATTAGGGCTCTTCCGCAAGTCTCATACAAAATTTTTTAAAATTAGCGATAGTTGGACGTGGTGAAAACGAGTGGTCGTAATTTCCAGCAAATATCTTGTCACTCTCGCAACGAAACACAATAGTAGTTTAGCTGCTGGAGAGAAGAAGAAATTCTGCATTGGATACATTTCGAAGCGTTTGTTTATCTTCATTCTACGTGTTTGCGGATGGATTGAAAAAACCGACAAAACTTTCGGACCCACCTAATACAGGGTGTCCCAAAATAATGTATCGAACGTTTGATCGTTAATATCTCTCTTCTGAAAAAGTCTTTTCCTTGCTTCAGGTGCCAGTCTGTAGAGCTGGCTTCAACTTAGATTTGCATTATAGAATGAATCACTCATCTCTCTTCATTACTGTAGGATTACGGTAGAAACTTCAAAGAGGGTTCTAAGCAATGAAAGGCCATATTTTGCCTCAGAAAGGAAACAAAACAGCCTCAAAACTTTTACACTAGGCTGATTAGAGTTTCTGATTATAACTGTAAAGTTCCCAACTTATTATGATGCTTCATTGAAGAGTTATGCCAGGTAAGAGGTAGCGGCTATTTTTTCAATGTTCCTAAAAAGTGCGGTTACACCGTTTAGAAAGCTTCGTAATCTCGTGAATAGTTGAGTATTAAACTCAGCGTCCATAAAAACCCTATTAAATAAGTTTTCACATTTTTTTGAAAATTTTTGGAACGGCAGCTTTTTCCACATTAACACCATATGTTTCAAGTTTCTACCGTAATCCTACAGTAATGAAGAGATATGGGAGATTCGTTCTATAATGCAAATCTAAGTTGAAGCCAGCTCTACAAAACAGTACTTGAAGCAAGGCAAAAGACCCTTTGGGAAGAGAGATATTAATGATCAAACGTTCGATACATTTTTTTGGGATACCCTGTATTAGGTGGGTCCGAAAGTTTATTTGTGAACACTTCATTGATCTGTTAATTTGCATTTATCAACTTCGGCCTATTATGATTTTATATGGTACCTGCATAAATACACTGTGCCATCGTTTCTCATCAAAACTATCTCGCTGTCTACTTCTCTTAGCATTTAGAAAGTCTAGAATTTCCACATCAAAGGAATAATGCCTTAATAAAAAGCGAAAACCTAGTGTTGGAAAGGAAAACCTAGTATCAAAAAGGAAGCTTGATTTGGAAGAAACGGATTGCGAATCAAATGCGAAAACCACAAAGTGCTGCGGAACTCTAAACAAATACTGCGGAAACCCTGTACCTTGAGATTGCAGGGCCGCAGCGCTTTCGCAGGATTTCCGCCGGGTCACCTGCGGAAGTTCCGGTCGGTTGTCTGAGCAGCTGATCAACAAAATTTTGATAGAATATAAGGGTGTCCCCAAAAGATACGCCTACTGCTTTATTGATAATAACTTTTCTGTCATAAATTTTTTCGAGATGCTTTAGGCAAAGTTTGATAGAGCTGGCTCCAACTCAGGTTTTTTTACAGTATGGAGACAAAAAAGTTATTAATAATAAAACAGTAGGCACATCTTTTTTTTACAGTATGGAGCGAATTAAGAATCTATCTCCGTTACTGGAGGAGCACGGTAGAAACTTGTAGCATAAGGGCCACTTTGAAAAAGGCCGCTTTGGAAGAAAGAAAAATGTGTAACAAGGTTTGCACGCATGCTGATTTCAGTGCACGTTTTTGCACTTTCATAGAGCTTTTCAAATGCCAGATTTTCGACAAATAACAGAAATTCGTCATCGTGGTATATCTCGCATAACTTACGAAAAATGCGTTAAGGTGAAGTGCGAGTCATGTTTGGATTTAGCGACTCTGATCAACCTAGTGTAAGAGTTTTCAACTTCTTTGATTCTACTTATAATCCTTATTTACTGACTCAAAACCTCCTCGATGTTTCTACCGTAATCCTACACTAATGAAGAAGGATTTTTGATTTACACCATATTGTATATGACTCGCAGTTGAGTTCCCCTATGAGTCATACATCAGTCGCAAGGTCTTTGAGCGCTGATTTCAAAACAAGCTTCCATATCTGCTTATCGGTTCACAGAACAAAGTTGGAGGCATCTCTCTCTTTCAACTTGCATGGTCAGATACTGTGTAAATGACCTAAATCGTAATAAATGCGAATTCACTCCAAAGTTTCATGCCCAAATGTGTGGTACCTATTGTACCACAAAAAAAAATTGGCCTTGGTCGTGCAATAAGCAGCAAAATCGTTGTTATTTGGGGCCAAAAAATGCCTGCAGTTTTGTTCAGGAAACCGATAAGCAGATAAGGATGGCAGTTTGGAAATCAGCGTCCAAAGACCTTTCGATTGATATACATCTCATAGGGAAACTCCACTGCGAGTCATATACCTTCCCCTGTAAGTTGAATTCAGCTCTTCAAAATGGTACCTAAAACTTCTCCAAAAACTTCATTACAAGAGAATTAACAATTTAACAATAGGCACATTTTTTTGGAACACACTGTATTTTATTTAGCATGATGTCGCCTCATTTGGGTACTTAATATTAGCTGGCCAGCTATTAAATGAATAATTTACTAATTTACAGATAGAGATCAAAATCTTGATATTATGGAAGATCAATTTGCCTTTCGAAATGTCTCAATAATAAACGTCTCCCGGTATATTTGATCAGATTCCATACTGTTAGTGCGAAGAGGAATTCCTGAGACTATACAAAATTTTCACATTCTACCACTGGAGCACAGAAGAATCAACTACATCGTTGCAGTCACACTTCAAGCACTTTTTATGTATCACAAATCAGATTATTAACATTTTGTCAATTTATTATTACTATTTTTTAAATTTCTTTTTCTATAAAAAATGAATGAAATAGAGGGCTGATGACTTCAGAGCCATTTTGTGTTCTAATTTGATAATCTGATATATTATCATTATTTCGATACTGCCAATGATATACAGTGGAAGCTACCGTCACCTCAAAGTTTTGCCAAGGGTAGATCATAAGTTTGCGATAAACTTGTGCATGTGTTTTGACATAATACGTGGCGATAATCTGTTTATTTCGCATGACAAATGTTGCCATTGTGAGGTAACGCGAACAAAAAATTTTATTGAAAATATCGGAACGGAAGTTCAACTAGGTACAGAGTTCTGAAAGTGAAAATCAAAATTAGGTTATACGAAAAATTTTCGGGTTATGCGAGGCCTTCTTTATGGAGAAAGGCTTGACTGAAAACAGCAAAAATCATCATCGAGCCCTTTTGAATTTTGTTTGAGGGAATTTTAGAATAAAATCACAAGTATTTCATATTATCCTAAGTTTGCTCTAATTTCATCAGCCGTAGATTCGCAAAACTGCATCCATTCGCGTTTTTTTTTGAAAATCAAGGAATTTGCTTTTTTTGACGACGATTTATGGTCAATTAAAGTTGATGAGTTTTGATTTACCGTTTTTAGAGCGTGTCGCATGAAGAAGGAAGGCTAAAAGTCCAAATATGCACGCTGCTATGATGAGTATCCACGATAGAGGGTACGGTAGAAATAACAGAAGCGGGTTCCTGAACAGAAAATAGAGCTTTTAAACGAGAATCAAATCTAAACTAAACTTACTGATTGAGTGCTTTTGACAGAAAGAATATGTTCTCAATTACGGTAACAACTGCTAAGAAGACTGTGAGCACAGCTATGACTACGAATACTTTCCTGAAATCATCTCCGTTGAACTGTTTTCGCAAGAAAACATAATAAAATTGCTTTTACCAGTAAGGCTTAAAACGCTTTATCGTCGCTTTTGTGATCCATCTGTTTCTCATACCACTACCTAGGAAATGTAGCTAGTTAACCCAAAATTGAAGATATTCTGAAATACTAAGTACACATTATTTCGTTCTCAAGTTATATGGCACCAATTTCTTAGAAAATGTTTATAATTAGTATGCATTCGAGGCGCGCCAAAACAGCTCCAAAACGTAACAAGGAGGAAAAACTTGACTAAAGACGTTGTTTACTATTTCATGTCTTACTTAATTTCTATATTTTGCAGTGCGAACTGAAGCTTATATAATGAATGAAAAAATAAAGGAAAATATGAAGCGAATTGGCAGCTTATGGGAGCTAACAAACGGATCCTAGTTAGCTATGTGAATGGGACGGCTTCCCGCGTCATCGATGAGGTTCTTCCTTCGTAGCTTGATAAGCTATGCGAGGTATGGTAGCTATGGGAAAAAGATTATATGACATGATAACCATAAGAATTTATTAGGCTCCTAACAAAAAAACTTCTTCACCAGATAAATTAAGCTGTTTTTGTTTTCCTAGCAGAGTCAGGCATACGATAAAACGAAGCAAGCTCTACAAAATGGCCACCAAAGATCCGCCTAAGTCGTTCACGGGGAATTTCTAGCCGAAAGTAAGAAAAAATTTTATTAGTGGAAATGATATCCTTGCAAAAAAATCTTACAGACCTCTAGTTTGGTCATCATGCCGTATACACATAGTTGTACCCAAAAATGCATTTGGCGATTTTGTTCCGCGCATAGAAAGCAAGAAAAAGATAGTCCAAGAATGGCAAACTCTGCCCTCAATCTTCCACATATGTGACTGCATACCGCAAGCCATACCCTCGATACATAGAGCCACATACTCTGGTAACCTTCACTTTGAGGGCTATGAGGGGACACAACATTCACCTGGGAAAATAAGAAGTTATCCGGGGCTTCGCCCGGACGTTATCATCCTGATTATATCGAAAGAATGTGAATGAACCAAATATAGGAAAGAATATCTGAAGAATGTCTTAGCGAAACGGAGAAATTGCTTTTTTAAAGCCTTTTTTACGCTGAAAAGAGAATTTCTGTGAAAATTTCCTCAGAATTCAGGACAAAGTTCCTCAGTTATCCTCTTACTTGACCAAATATGAGTTTCAAAAGTTTGAAAAGCTGTTGGAGTTGAAATGAGAAATGCTCAATCGTGCGCAAAGAGTCGCGCACGAAAATGCTGGTCTATCTCGTTAGTAAGTGACTTTTAAAGCTTGGGACGTTGTCAGCTCTCCTCGTCGTGTCATGACGGACAAAATGATATATAATGTTACAGGGTTTCGTTGAGACCCCGACGAGATCTACGACCAGAGCCATATGCCCCGTCGGCTCTGGTCTGTCTCCGCTGCTCGTCTGCGTCTCCGCGCGCTGGGCGCTAACTCTTTTCTTCGCTGTTTCGAACCCAATTTTAGCAAGCTATATATCATTTTGAAGCTCTTGATCTATATTTTCACTCTGACAACGTCCCAAAATCACATTTCTTGATTTGAACGAGAAATCTGGCGAAAACCTTGTTTTCGAAAATCTCTTGTTTTTCTTCTATTTTACCTCTTTTTACCCGGTTTTTTCGTGCATTCTATAGATCTTGCTTCTGTTCATAATGCAGACAACCACCTAACCTTTATCTCTTCGATTATTGTGGATTTTTTTGCGAAAAATCGTAAAAAGTGCGTTTTTACCTTGTTCTGTTTCAGTGCTTTCGCATCGATTTTTTTCCAGCTTGGTGTTGCTCAGAACAATAAGCGCAACAATCCAGACAACGTTCCAGGAAACAGGAACGTCAATGCGGGGGTAAAAACTCAAAGGACGCATCAAAAATCAAAACCCCGTGTTGCGAATTGCTGGTCCTGAAGCGAAAACTTGCACTTTGAAAGGCCGCCAAATGAAAGATTTCAAGCCTCATCGCAGCGTTTTTATCCTATTTTCAGCAGTTTATTTTGCTTTTTGCATCTGTTTTATGTCATTTTTCTTCTCTGATCATCTTTAAACAACCTTCACTATTTATGACTCAAATGTTCAAACAACCTTCACTTTTGACGCCCTGTCTCTAGACTATCGAAGGTATGCTTACAGCTTATCAACGCCTTAGGGACTATATATAGGCAGCGGAGGAGGGTTACGCTAGCTTAATCATTCACGCTATCTTGAGATAGTGGACATTGGGTGGCCGCGATAAGTCTTAACTTTGCGATTGTACTTCTACTACAGCGTTATGAAGAAGGCGATACGTCACAAAAACGCTTAAGCATTTTGCTATTCTTTATACCACGTTGGTCAAGCTTAATAATATCAAAACAGTATTCATATAACATGCCAAAGTCAGTTAACAGTCAAATTTTGTCTATCAGTTTTTCCTCAAAATCAATGGAAAGGTCCCAAAGTTTTACCGATTATATAAACGAACAGTGCTAAGCATGTTTCCGATAAGAACAAATGATGTATTTAGAGTCATGTTTGCGAGAACCGCGTGTCAAAAGTTAGGGTCTATCAAAAAATTGATATCTCAGTAACTCATTTGTTCTTATCAGCAACTTGCTTAGGCACTGTAAGGTTAGATCATTAGCACAGCTTTGGAATGTTTTCGCTGATTTTGAAGAAATTACAGTCTGCGCTGAGGATCATCAGGGATTGTACGAAAAGCTGAAAGATGCGGCTTTCACAACTTCCCGCTCTTGCTCAAAGTGTTTTTTGTAAAGGATAGTAGGAACACTTACGGATAGGTATACAGCGTGAAATCCAAATATTTGGAGCTTAAGCATATGAAGCTTGATTCTAAGGGCCGCATGCATTTTTAGCCGAGGGGAGGGGAAAGGGGGGAGAAGCGGGGGGGGGATCGCAGCTTAAAAAAAAAGCTTATTTCTGAGGCTCTAATATCTGCATTTCACACTATTTACCTACCCATAAGTATTTCGACTACTATCCTTCATCGTGAACATATTGAACAGAGGAGAGAAGCTGTGATAAGCCGCATTTTCTAGCCTTTTGCACAATCCCCTGATGATCCCCGGCGGCTGACCCTCTTTTCCTTATAATTTTTTTATTATTGAATTCAAGAAAAAGGTGCCGAAGTTGCACGATCATCTAACCCAACAGTGCTGAACAAGTTTGATAAAAAAGTGATGTTGTAAAGTTATTAAATTTTGAACCACAAGTCAAAAGTTAGGTTTACCGAAAAAACGATATTCCAAAAATTCATTTGTTTCTATCAGCAACATGCTTACCACTGTTGTATTAAATAATTACAATCTTTAAATGATTTCATCAAATTTTAAGAAAGAGAAATGACTTTAAAGAAAAGTCAGTCAGCCGCAGGGCAATATCGCTTTCAATGGCCTGAAAATCTTCTCAAAATTCCTACCTTTTATAGTGATGAAGAGTGATTGACGATTTGCTCTATACTGCAAATCTAAGTTGAACCTTGCTCTACAGAATTATACCTCAAGCTCGGCGAAAGACATAAAAGCAAAAGAGTTATTAACGATAGACAGTGCGCATATCTTTTTGAGACACTCTGTAGTTGTCGCAGGGAAGAATTATGCGAAAGTAGAAAGTCTGGCCAATGATGCATGCTTGTTCTCTGACAGGACGAAGCATATCTTCTTCCTTGAACAGCATGTTAGTAAATGAGAGTAAAGTAAGATTTCTCACTTTTAAAGCTTTTCATTCATATCCGAAGCTTTGGGAAATACTTTTTGCGTTTTAAGGATGAAGCATAGAATATTTCGCAGAATTAGCTAATATTCTAGCCAAGTAAATTCTTCCCACATATCTCCTTGTTTCGCAGAAGAGCTAGGAAAAAAGACAGTCTAGATCGATTTCTCGTGTCATAGCTATCGAATAGATATAAACTGTTGCTGCATAAAGTTTTACGTTCAAAGTCTTGCTCCGGCAACTATGAAAGCCAAGTCATTGAAGGGGCGAGTTAGTGCAAGTTAGTAGTATGTATTTTCAAACCACTCTTGGAGAGCCACAAATTCTACATTTGATCACGAAAGGAAATTCGAGGTAAACCGTTTTTTTCTTCTTGCACCCCTCTACTCGGAGATACATGGTAAAACTGAAAACTGCGCGTATTTGCAAGCAAATTTCTGCCCAAAGGATGAAAGATGCTTAATTGTCAACTGTTTCACAGAGCAAGACTTTGCAATGAGCGTACACCATCTTTTTTCTCAGTTTTTTTCTTTATTTCAATTCAAGCGCAGAGTGATCGCACAGAATGTGTTGATGTTGCAGCTAAAATATTAGGTTGGCTCATAATTAATGCACGTTTTGAATTTCAACCGCAATAAGTCCTACACTTTTCATTCTTATATAAGCTTCAAAGTACCATTATATAGAGCAAAGCAAGCTCTACAAGATGGCGCTTATGTCTTTGCGCCATGCTCGATCCACGGAGAGTTCGAACTCAAAATCTAAAGATTTCCAAATGCCCAAAAAATCGAAAAAAATCAGATCTTCGTCCAAATAATTTCTACGGACCTCCCACTCGCTCACATCAATACTATCGATATCTGATATCCATATGTGCGATTGCCGTATTTTTCCCTTGACTAGAAATTGAGAAAACGAAAATTTCCCTGATTTTCTCAAAGCAATGCTGAGCCGTTTTTGCATATGTAGTTCTATACTACAAGCCTAGGTAAGTATAACTGTAGATTTCCAGCCCATTCCAAGCGGTTGTTTTCGAAAAATAACGAATTCGGATTTTTTCGTTTTAGTTTCAGTGCTGAAATCGACATTTCTCGAAAAGTACCGCTCGAAATAGGCTGGAAACCTACAGTTATGCTTACCTAGGCTTGTAGTGTAGAACTACATATGCAAAAACGGCTCAGCATTGCTTTGAGAAATTTGGGGAAATTTTCGTTTTCTCAGTTTCTAGTCAAGGAAAAAATACAGCAATCGCACATATGGATATCAGATATCGATAGTATTGATGTGAGCGAGTGGGAGGTCCGCAGAAATTATTTGGACGAAGATCTGATCTTTTTCGATTTTTTGGGCATTTGGAAATCTTCAGATTTTGAGTACGAACTTTCCGTGGATC